GATTTACAATTCACAATAAGCTCTGGTGGTGAGAGGGAGAAACACCAGACGCCAGACCCTGACACTATTAGACATATATATGTAGTCGTTTAATAGCGGTCTAATTGATGACTAGTCTATTCTTGGGCTATGATTAGATGTCTATTAAATTTTAAATGACAGCCCAAATTTAGCCTTGTTTTAGCCTAGACGTCTGGGCTGTGTTTAGACGGCTAATAGATGTCTTTTAAATGCAAAATTGCTTGTTGGGATCTGTCCGTCACGGACTGCGTGACTTTGCCCGTCGATTTTTTTTTTTCTGCGACTAAGCGACTAGTAAAATTTTGGTCGATCAAGCATCTTCTGGTCGACTAACGATTAGTCGACAATTAGGGGGCAGCCTTAATATATATATATATATATATATATATATATATGTGTGTGTGTGTGTGTGTGTGTTGTACATAAATTAATGCTGAATTATTGATATTGTCTTTCATTTACAGCTGGAAGAGAATTTCACCTGCACTGCAATTTATCTAGACTACATTCTTGCTACGCTTTGCATGATAGGTGAAAAAAATTGTGATAACGTTGAATACATGCTTGACAAGCTCCTGTCTCTACATCTCTTCAGGCATCTTCCTTTGTGACTGGTGTTGTTGTTCTGGACCACCATGTCAACAATGCTCTTATTCCATTCAAAATAAACTTGATTGTCCACCTGAATGTTCGCAAACTTCAATTCTGAAAAATGTTTGGACATTTACGTGTAAAGAACAGAAGTTGTCCCAGGAGGACTACAAATCTGCACTATCAACAATCACAATATTTATAAATATAGAAGTGTAATGACAAACTCTTTAGATCTATTTCCTAGCTTCTCTAAAGGAGAGGCCATTTCTTACATGGTCAATTTGGGAAACTCTGATTTCATTTGAAATGTGTTTCTATCTTCTACCTCTCCTTCCACCCTGATGTCCACTTCTTCTCTGTCTTCTTACAGTTTCTCATCTTGCTCTTTCCACTACACCAATGCTCTCCGATCTGATCTCTTCTCCCTCTCTTCTCCTCTCCTCTTTTTCTAACATCCTCCTCTCTGTTAATCTCTTTCTACCTGTTCCACTCTTCTTCTCTCTTTCATTACACCTCTTTCTTTACCCCCCACCACCATATTCGGTCTTGCTCTTTGTATATTTTCCCCTTTATAGTTAAAACAATTGTGATAAATGTGTAAACTGTTTCCTGTTTTGTGTGTGTTATTAAGCGAGCAGTTATTAGTTTGGTGCCAATTTTAAAATATTCCATCTGCATTTGATATAACAAATTACAGAATTTTGTTTGTTGTGTTTGGACAAATAGTACATAAGTGTTTGTGATTTGTGTAAAACCAATAAAAGGATCTACAATTGCTTTTTTTTCAGATATTTTAAAGTATTGGTTGGTTGTATTAACTATTATGAAAACATTTGAGAGTTTTGTGCACAGTGTTTTGAGAAAATAAGCATGGTTTGTAATTTGTATGAAATTAATGATCTGTTTAGGACAATTACAAAGTGTTCAGATCACCGAGTAAACTATTTTGAGAACAGTGACCTGAGTTTGGAGAAATGTGTCAAATCGATTGAGGAAAAACTGCAATATGCATTATACAGAGACGAGATGAAAAGAAAATACCAACTTTTCTGAAGACAGTCAGTTCCCCTCAGAAACACATTCATAGCAACCCCCAAATTGTCACGGGTGCACACACACGAGGGACGAGGAAACGCTGGAGAATACTTTACACAAGACTTTATTCGTAGGAAGGAACCAAGGGAGACGAACACAGGAAGAGGTTCACACGAAGACCTTCAACATCGGACAGAGAACTAGGGACTGGGAACACTTTATATATACACACACACACAGGAGGAGGGGATGACGAGACACACCTGGGAGCCATGACACATCAAGGGAAACACCTGGGAAGAAATCAACTTAATTAATCAGGGGAGGAACAGGAAACAAACCAAATAAGGGCATGGGAAGGCACATGGGGAGCAGGACACACACGAAACATGGAACAGAGTCTGACACAAATCAATATTTAGGATTTTCTTCCAATATTTTGTGCATCATGAACAGTGAGTTTGTTCTGCCTGCTACAGCATTTTCTCCTCTTTGCGTTCATCTCTCTGGCTTCAGTTAACAGAACAGAGACTGGCTGAAAAAAAAACAAAACAAAACAAAAAACAGCTGGTTGCCGATCGCGTAAGTTACTGGGCATCACCTCCTTCGGCCATCTTACACACAGTTGACTGACTGCTCACACCAACGCAAAGGGAAGGGATCATGTTACTCTCTACATTGCACACAACCTGGGGTATTCCTACACTTTCCATCTTTGACAAGACATGAAAAATAGCGCATGCCGCAGGAACGGTATAATGAAAATTTTTAGTGGTTTTGAAACCGTGAAATTTTTCAAATCGCGGTATACCTTGTAATCGGCCCATGCCTACTAACTGGTTTGGTGACTGTTCTTTCATTCTAGTTCATGGTATTCACCTTTCTTTAATTTTATACTACAACTATTGGAAGCTTTGATATGCTCTGAAGTGCATATTGTGTCTCTTATTTACTAATGTATTGTGAGCTACAGTTTCTGACAGTTTGTAAACCATCTCAACCATCTTTCATTTGCTAGCCATTAATGTGTTATCACGGGGTCAATGTTGGTGCTACTGATCTTACTAAGGGTGGCTGACGGATCATGGATCGTTCTTGGTTTGATCCGTCATAGTTCATGGGTTTTGTTCCTCTGAAAGGTATGGGGTGGTTTGCTGGTAGACTCAAATTATTTATTTTTCTAAGTTGTACCTTGTTCCATTATGCAGTATTTTTATTTGATACCTGACTGATCTTGATATTTTGAGTTGGAATATAAATGGCCTAAACGCCCCTCACAAACGCACAGGTTTTTTTGGAATTTTTTTGCAAAGAAGAAAAATTGATATAGCTTTAGTTCAAGAATCCCATCTGCTAGAGGAGGATGTATTCAGATGCAACAAGAAGTTTTATGAAGTGATATCTTATTCAGCTGCGGATACTTAAACTAATGGTATATTGGTGTGGAGGACTCTAAATATCACTATTTTAGATAAAGGCTCTGATTCAGATGGTAGAAGAACACACATAAAAACAGTGGTGTAAAATAGGATTATTGTATTTCTTTCAGTTTATGCTCCTTGTACTGCTGATCCTATTTTTTTTTCTCTTTACTCTCAGCTTATCTCTGGAAATTTTCTGACTTCGAAATTATAGGTGCAGATATGAATTTTGTAATGTCCCACAGTTTAGATAGATCTGGACCAAATGAATCTTACTTTCAGGCTTTTTGTTCTGACAAACTTCAACCTTCGTATAACCTCGTCCTCACTGCTATATTTGGCGATTATTTAATCCCTCTGCTAGGTCATATACTTTATTTTCCACTACTCATAAAACATATTCACAAATTGACTCTATTTTCATTTCTACTTCCTTATCTTCAGCTGCTTAAGATGCCGCATATTTGCCCCCTATCGCTATCTGATCATGATGGTAATTTGAGCAGACTATCTTTGGTCCCTCAACCCATCTTGGGATGGCGATTTAACCCCAAGCTGTTACAGGAAGAAAACGTTTGCAGTCAGTTCAGAAATAGGTTTGCTGAGTTTATTGAAATTAACAGAGGTTCAGTGGATGATCCACGAACACTGTGGAGCGTGGTTAAAGGCTATATATAAGAAATAGCTCAATCTCATATGCCTCTTTCCTACAACAATAAAAAAAAAAAAACTAAAGTTTTGGAGTGGCCTACTCAAAATGACTTGAACTCAATGGAGATGTTGTGGCAGGACCCTAGACAGACATTTCATACTCAAAATCCTCCAAAATTCCACCACAGTGCTGTAAAAGATTGATCTCCAGTTATCGGAAGCATTTGGTTGCAGTTATTGCTGCTAAAGTTGGAACAACCAGATTTTAAGTTTAAGGGGGCAGTTAGTTAGGTGTTGGATAACTTGTTTTGCTTCAATAAAAAAGTTTGGTAACACTTTACTTGAAGGGGTGTGCATAAGACTGACATGACACCTTCATAATCATGACATGACACATGTCATGAATATGAAGGAGGTTTTATGCATGTTTATGACAACTGTCATTAAGTGTCATTCGCTCAGTTATGTCATTTTTAATGTAAATATGACATTATTTGACCTAACCCTACCCCTAACCATAGCCCATAACAGACATCTCAGACAATGTCATCTTTGCATTAAAAATTACATAACTGAGCGAATGACACTTAATGACAGTTGTCATAAACATGCATAAAAAACCTTCATATTCATGACATGTGTCATGTCATGATTATGAAGGTGTCATGTCAGTCTTATGCACACCCCTTCAAGTAAAGTGTAATCAAAAGTTTTTTTTTTTTTTAAACTACGTGTTTACTCAGATTTTTGTTTTATTTTGTGAAAATCTAAAATGAAGATCTAAAATTATTTAGTAGGAAATAAAAACAAGAAATCAGGATGGAGGCAAATACATTTTCACAGCACTGTACAACAGTTGTGTAGGCTACTTGTAATAAATATATGTCAGCTTTAAGGCTAATCTATGTTCTGATGTACTAAATGTTGAGAAAAAAAATTTTTAACAGCAGGGAGTACATATTCTTTAAGGATTAATAATAATATGATATGAAATAATAATTTGATGAATCATCAAGAACTACACAATTTATTTATTTATGTATTTATTGTTTGTTTGTTTGTGTGATCAAATGCAATCAACCAACTAACCAACCAACCAAATGAAAATATTATTGATGAAGAAAATTATTTTTGTTGTACATTGTCCTTATCTGGTTCTTTTGACCTCTTCTTCCTTATCCTACTCATTTTTATTGATTGATTACTTAACAACGGGTTTTTTTTAAACTTTTTTTTTCAATTGATATCTTTTACATATTCCCTCTATTTGTCTCTCAGGAGGACTCCCAGAGGTACTACTCCTGGCGCAGTTTTGGTCCTGGTGACAAACGCACACAGGATCTCTGGGTGGATCTTGATTCAGTGCATCAAGGACCTGTCAGAGTGCACGCTATCCTATCCAACACACACCGACAAGCATCGGTGAGACAACCATGCAGAGATATTCATGTATTCTTAGGAAAATATGCACATGGTTCACATGGACTAAGGAAACATCTTATTCTAGCTTGTAATTTTGTTACTTAGCATTTTAACTCCCTGCTTACGTTTCCTTTTTCTTTCTATTTCTCCCTTATATATCTTTTTCTTTATCCTACTGCCTGTCTCCTCACTAGCGGTTGGCACTAACCTTTGACTTCTTTTTCTATGGACATCAAGTGAGACAAATCACCATAGCAACTGGAGGTATTGTATATAGACTCTGTTCACCTCTCTCCTACATCAGGCCATCTGGAGCATATCAGACTGGTTTGTGTTTGCCTTAGCACACAGACACAGAAAATGTCTCACATGAGATGCTTCCATGACCTCTTTTGTATTATTCAAGACTGATCAGATCGCCCTTGTTGAAGTTTAGATCTTTTACATTTTTTTTCTCAATACCTAGGCCCTTTTTTCAAAACTCTTCACACAGTGCTCCTTACCAAATTTCAGCTTGGCACACCAATACATTTCACATCCAAAATGCACTAAAACTTCCAAAACACTTCATACTTAATAAATTGTCTCAAATCAACTTATTCATCCATAACACTAGCAAACCCTCATAATGCAATATTGCAATTAAACTTTACCTCATGTAAATGCAATGCTTCGATCAAAATAATGTGATTAAGCTCATAATCATAGCAAGCATAATCGTATTAAAATATATTTACATTTACATTTTAGTTTTAGTCATTTAGCAGACACTTTTATCCAAAGCCACTAACAAATGGGGACAATAGCAGCAATCAAACTAACAAAATAGCAGTAATATGTAAGTGCTGTGACAAGTTCCAGTTAGTCTCGCGCAGTATGCTTAGAAAGGTTTATTTATTTTTTTATTTTTTTATTATAAAAAGAAAACAAGTACATAGATTAGAAATAGAATAGAGAGTGATGGTGTTAGATGGTCAAGTTTTTATTATAATAACTAAAAGAAAACAAGTAGATAGAAGAGAAGAGAAGAGAAGAGAAGAGACTCAAACCACTGGCGTGCGGTTCCTGAGATGCCATTTTCCAATAGGGTTGACAGGAGAATCTGGTGGTTCACCGTATCAAAAGCAGCAGACAGATCCAGCCAAATAAGTATAGAAGATTTGGAAGCCGCTCTTGCCAGTCTTAGGGCTTCAACAACTGAAAGCAAGGCAGTCTCGGTCGAATGTCCACTTCTGAAGCCAGATTGGTTGCTGTCCAGGAGGTTGTTCTGTGTGAGAAAGGCTGAGACTTGGTTGAACACAACTCGTTCAAGTGTTTTTGCAATGAAAGGTAGAAGGGAAACCGGTCTGTAGTTCTCTAAAAGAGTTGGGTTAAGAGTGGGTTTCTTAAGAAGTGGGGTTATACGAGCCTGTTTAAATGTTGAGGGAAAAACACCAGTGTGAAGGGATGTGTTAACGATGTGAGTGAGTGCAGGTACAACGGCAGGAGAAATGGCTTGAAGGAGATGAGATGGAATAGGATCAAGCGGACAAGTAGTAGGATGATTGGAAAGGATGAGTTTAGAGACTTCTGCCTCAGAGAGTGGAGAGAAGGATGAAAACGAGTGTATGTTTGCTGGTAAGATGTGTTTGACAGTTTGTGGTGTGGCAAATTGTGCACTGAGGTTTGTAATTTTATTAATGAAGAATGTGGCAAAGTCGTCAGCTGTTAGAGTTGATGAAGGAGGGGGAGGAGGAGGATAAAGGAGGGAGGAAAATGTTTTAAAGAGCATGCGAGAGTTAGGCGAATTGTTAATTTTGTTGTGATAGTATGTCCTTTTAGCAGTGGAGGCATTAGCAGAGAATGAAGAGAGAAGTGATCGATATACATTAAGGTCAGTAGGATTTTGTGATTTGCGCCATACTCTTTCTGCAGCTCTGAGCTTAGAACGATACTCACGGAGAACATCAGATAGCCAAGGGGCAGAAGAGGTGGTACGAGCTGGCCTGGAAGACAAGGGGCAGACAGTGTCTAAACAAGACGTAAGAGTGGAGCAGAAAGTAGGAGCAGAAAGTATCAGTAGCACGGTTAACATCAAGAGATGATAACTGTTCAGGAGAAGGAAGCAAAGATGAAACCATAGCAGATAGCCGGGAGGGTGAGAGTGAGCGTAGGTTACGTCGAAAAGTGAAATGTTTAGGGGTATGTGTTGTGTCAGGAACCATGTTGAGGAGGAAGTGATCCGAGGTGTGTAGTGGAGTAACCAGTACATTATCAGTGGAGCAGTGTCTTGTGTAAATAAGGTCCAGTTGGTTGCCTGATTTGTGAGTAGCCGTAGTTAATACTCGCTTGAGATCAAAAGAGGCAAGCAGAGTGTGGAAGTCTGCAGCCTGAGGTTTATCTAGGTGGATGTTGAAGTCTCCAAGCATAACTAGGGGAGTACCATCCTCAGGAAAGTTTGAGAGCAGCACATCTAATTCTTCCACGAAGTTACCTAATGGTCCTGGGGGTCGATAAGCAACTATAAAATGGATTTTAAGAGGGTGGGTAATAGTGGCTGAATGTGATTCAAAGGAGCTGTTGATACTCAGAGATGGTAAAGGATTAAATTTCCAATCATTAGAGATAAGCAGATCAGTACCTCCACCTCTTCCAGTCAGACGGGGGGAGTGGGAAAAAGAGAAATTATTGGAGAGTGCTGCAGGTGTAGCATTGTCCTCTGGTTTGATCCACGTCTCTGTCAGGGCCATGAGGTTTTGTCTTGAATGACTTGTAATCGAAGTAATAAAATCTGCTTTGTTTACAGCAGACTGGCAATTCCAGAGACCAATAGAAAAAGAAAGTAGTGTATTAGTAGACATAGGCAAAGTGCGCAAGTTGTTAGGATTGCGCTGCCTACAGTGTGTGATGCATGGTTTGCGAGTGGTAGTGATAGTAGGGATCTGGAAACACATAGTAAGAATTGGTTATAATAACTGAAAACAGAAGGGGAACAAGTAGTAGGAAAGAGAATGATTCAGAAGCGATACTTATGTGTCTTGCCGGTGTCCCTGCTCGGTGGAGTCGAACGGTAGAGTCAATGGTCTTTACACTCTTCGGTCTTCACGCGACCGCTTCCGCGGTAAACTAAGCTTCTTTTTAATTAGTTTAACAAAACTCAAATTGAGTTCAGCTGGACACACTTTCCTGTTTATCACACCAAATGGCCAAGCAAAGCGCACGACACTGACAAGGTACGCGATACAGTACGAGACCAAACGCGATTTCAGCACGTCTCCACACAGTAAACAAAACAAGCGTTTCCTAGCAACGACAACTGCACTAAACACTGAGACAAGAAATAAATACACTTACAAGCTGCTTTTAACTTCTGCTGATTGACTGCTTCTCTCAAATAGTACACTTTACACTGTTTTGCTGGCGTTTGAACACACTTTCCTGTTTATCACAACAAATGGCCAAGCAAAGCACACGACACTGACAAGGTACGCGATACAGTACGAGACCAAACGCAATTTGCAATATATGAACTAATATATATAAAACTTTTTAAAATATACAATTCTTCTCCCCCGAGTTACATCTTCCGCCATTTTGGAGAGTACCCAAGAGGTCTGAGAGCTCTCACATTTCATCAAAAATATCTTAATTTGTGTTCCAAAGATGAACTTACGGGTTTGGAACGACATGAGTGTGAGTAATTAATGATAGAATTTTCATTTTTGGGTGAACTATCCCTTTAACAGCGGATTATTCATGATTGCTTTTGCACAAATTGCATTCAATGACCACTACTTTCAAATTACATTAACTCTTTTCTCACTTAGACTTAACTACGACCAAAACTCTATGTACCTACAGGCCAATTTGTGCATGTTTACATATTGTCAATGCCATGCCTGTTTTGGGGTTTGGTTCATGTTTATGTCATGCCTTGTGTTTCCCTTTCTCGTTATGTGATCTTGTCATGTGGTTCTTTATTTCATGTGTCATGTTTTCAATGGTTCATGTTCATTAGATCTGTCTTGTCATTAGTTGTTATATATATATATATATATATACACACTGAAGGTGAGTTGAAGAACCCATATGCAGTTTTATTAGCCAAACATGAAAAGACTTGAGAGAGGAGCAAGAGAGGAGATCTTCCGGTTCCTGTCTGCTGTGCTACTGAGAGGTTTGCGATTGTAGCTATTGGACTCTTACTATCACTTTCTGTTCTTTAAACTGCTGAAATATAACTTAATTATCACCATACTTCTGATATTATCTAACATACTGATTTGATATTGTTCGCTTTTTAAATCTAAACTGCGAGTGCTGCACGTTAGCATTCCGTTAGCCTGTTAGCTTGTCATACGCGCCTACCGTTTATTTTCTCTCTCGCTCTCTCTCTCTCTCTCTCTCTCATTCTGTTTCTTTTCTCTCTCACTCCGTTTTTCACAAGTACATCAAACAACTGTGATAAGTCAGAACCATTCAACAATCACAGTGAATAATGGCTTCTTCTCCTGTCATTGTCATTGGCACACTCTGTCAGCGGCGAGGATTCCCATATGATAAATGCAGGGAAATAGTTCTGTCAGGACCACTATCGTCAAAGATAACTTACAATTAGCATACATTTTAGGTTGTGGTTATGGATCTGTTCTGGGCAACACTCCCTGCCCATCCATGCAGCCTAGCATCGATAGGAGCAGGGAGAGCATAAATAACACCCCCTAGGGTAAACTGAACAGAACCAACATTAATGATTAATGTAGCAGATATCATCAATGTTCTAAGTGATTATTTTACATATCAACATAATTCAGTGGTCTGACTCAAGAAGAAATATCCAATGCCATGTCCTGACTGGACGAGAGGAGGAGTTGGGGATGGAGGTGGCTGATTAGCTCCTGAGCAAAGCGATAGCTGCTGAATAATGACTGAAAGGACCTTATAAAGGGAATTATGATTGGCGTCGTATTCCTATAGGTAGACGTGGATCAGCTGAGTGTCAGCTGATGCGAGCTTGACTAACGTGACCTGCCAGAACTAATGCTACGCTCCATTTAGGCTGACAGAGAAGATTTCAGAACTAGAGACATGCATCTAAACTTTAATTGAGGATAATAAGAATGTGAGGGCCTTAGATACGGCTTTGGATGCGACTAGCTTAGCGAGTCCCGTACATTGTCCGGTTCTGGTTGCAGAGCCCCCGCAACAGGGCGACTGGGTGACAGTGAGGCAGCATAGTCGTGGGACAAAACACCGCTCTTCCGTTCTCCCCACTTAGTGATGCATCCACTGAGAAACCTGTTGGAAAAGCCCTAGTTATTGGCGATTCTGTTGTACGGAACATGAAAATAGAAACACCAGCCACCATAGTCCAATGTTTACCGGGAGCCAGAGCGCCTGACATCTTGGCAAATTTGAAAGTGCTGGCTAATGCTAAACGTAAATTCAGTAAGATTGTTATTCACGTCGGCACTAATGATGTCTGACTTTACTAGTCGGAGATCACTAAAAATAAGTGATGAGAATGCAGACTGTCATCACTCAATGGCTGGATGTCTAAGTGGTGCCCGAAGAATAACATAGGTTTCATAAACAATTGGATTAGTTTTTGGGGCAGACCCAAACTGTTGAAAAGAGATGGTCTTCATCCCTCCAGGGGTGGTGCCTCTCTTCTCTTTAGAAATATGGCACATAGTCTTAGAGTTTGTGCTTGACTAACTGGGTCCCAGGTCAGGAAGCAACCAGACTGGCTAAACTGGCTAAACAGACTGGCTAATTCTCAACACATAGAGACTCTTTCACCTAGATTTCATACTATAGAGACTGTGAAAGTGAAAAAGTGACGTGACATGTGGCCAAGTATGGTGACCCGTACTTGGAATTAGTGCTCTGCATTTAATCCATCCAAAGTGCACACACACAGCAGTGAACACACACACACACCGTGAACACACACCCGGAGCAGAGGGCAGTCATTTTTTGCTGCGGCGCCTGGGGAGCAATTGGAGGTTCGGTGCTTTGCTCAAGGGCACCTCAGTCATGGTATTGAAGGTGGGAGAGAGCGCTGTACATTCACTCCCCCCACCTACAATCCCTGCCGGTACGAGACTCGAACCCGCAACCTTTGGGTTACGAGTCCGACTCTCTAACCATTAGGCCTCGACTTCCCCCCTAAGTGTGACCAAACTAGCAAATACAAAGGGTAAACAAAACAATTTAAGGGTAACAATTTAATTGATGTTCAACAAATAATAAAAAAAACAGATATAATACAGATAAACAAATCATAAAGCTTGGTTTAATGAATATTAGATCCCTTTCTACAAAAGCGCTTTTTGTAAATAATATGATCACAGATCATAACTTAGATGTGCTCTGTTTGATAGAAAACTGGCTAAAACCAGATGATTACATTATTTTAAATGAGCCAACCATCCAAGATTACTGTTATAAACATGAGCCGCATCCAAAAGGTATAGGGGGAGGTGTTGCTACAATTTATAGTTATATTTTCAGTATTTATTAGAGGTCTGGTTTCAAGTATAATTTGTTTGAAGTAATGGTGCTACATATAACATTACCCAGAGAAATAAGTGTTAATGATAAATCCCCTGTGATGTTTGTACTGGCTACTGTATACAAGCCACAAGGGCACCATACAGATTTTATCAAATAATTTGCTGATTTTCTATCCGAGTCAGTGCTGGCTGCAGATAAAGTCTTAATTGATGGTGATTTTAATATCCATGTTGATAATGAAAAAGATGCATTGGGATCAGCATTTATAGACATTTTGAACTTTATTGGGGTTAGACAACACGTGTCAGGGCCTACTCATTGTCGTAATCATACTTCAGATTTAATACTGTGACATGGAATTGATGTTAATGGCGTTGAAATTCTGCAGCAGAGTGATGATATCTCGGCTCATTATCTAGTCTCGTGTATACTCCATATAGCTAAAGCTGCAAATTCAACTCCTTGGTAGAACCATCACTTCTACCACAAAATACTTCTTTGTAAATAATCTTCTTGACTTGTCTCAATTCCCCAGCATATCCAATAGCTCATAAAAACTTATGATGGTGTAACAGAAACTATTGATACTCTCTTTTCTCGCACTTAAGAAGAGAAGAAATACAACCCCAGGCATGTATTCAATACAGTGGCTAAATTAATGAAAAATAAAGCATCAACAGACGCAGACATTTTAAAGAGAGCAGCCCGGAGAATGGAGCACAGCTGGAAGAAAACAAAACTAGAGGCATTTTGTATTGCATGGGGGAAAATTACTTCTACTTATAGAAAAGATTTAAAAACTGTTAGATCTACTTACTTTTCGTCTCTCTTAGAAGAGAAGAAATACAACCCCAGGCATGTATTCAATACAGTGGCTAAATTAATGAAAAATAAAGCATCAACAGACGCAGACATTTCCCATTCGGAACATTCTTGTTAAAAAGCGATTATAAGCGATTTATCTTTGATGATAACCACATTGTTCAATGTGCTTTTGTGTGTGTTTATTAGAGAAAGAGAGAGAGAACATTTGAAATTTGTGAACATACTGTAGAAAAGGATAGAGTAGAATATCTAAATTACGACCTATTCTCTCAATGTCAAATGCAGAAATGTTAATCCATGCGTTTATGACCTCAAGGTTAGATTAAACTGAGTACAACTTAACTAGGTCAAGCAGTTAGTCAGAAATCTATAATCTCACCTGATGTGCGCCATGCTCCATCTAACCTTAGATCTAGTATGCACTTAACCCTGGACGCAGATTTGTGGAAACATGCGCCTTCACTTAATCTACTTGAGAAAATAATTTCAGAGTAAGTCAGAATAAATCAAATGTAACAATTTATTATCAGTCAGGTAAATATGTATTATGCCAATTATCTACATAGCCAATTCAAAGATATCAAATCAATACGATACATCAAATTCTCATAGACAAATCTAAGAGTAAGATGCATACCT